GTCGAGTCTGAAGTCATCAAATTCATGACTCGAGTCTGACTCGAGTCCAAGTCACATGACTCGAGTCCACACCTCTGCCTGTTCTCCACCTGAGGACGGCTGCTTGCGTTGTGGCCGAAACGTCGTGAGAATTATTTTATTATGTTTTATTTTTATTATTTTATTATTTCCATTCTACGTGACTTTTCCGAAAGAACCAAGAAGATGAATACCTGCAGTCACGAAAGCTTTTAATCGGATATCGATGACTGAGTGATGTGTATTCTAAAGATGCTCTAGATGGGCTAGAGGGCTGAGTAAGTGATGTGAACTCTAATGATGCTGTTGAAGGCCGAGATAGCTGACTGAGAGTGATGGGAAATCGAATAATGTTCTAGAAGGGCTAGAGAGATGAGTGAGTGATGTGATGTCTAATGATTCTCTCGAAGGGCGAGAGAGCTGAGTGAGTGATTTTAAGTCTAATGATGCGGTAGAATGGCTAGACAGCTGCACGTCTTATGTAAACTCTCATGATGCTTTAGAATGGATAGAGAGCTGAGTTAGTGATATGGACTCTCATGGTTATCTTAAGTGCTATAGAGCTGACTTCCTGGTGTGAAATCCAATGGTGCAATAGAAGGGCTAGACAGCTGAGTGACTGAAGTGAACTCAAATGATCCACTAGAAGGGCTAGAAAGATGAGTGAGTCATGTGATGTCTAATGATTCTCTCGAAGTAGTGTATACCAGTATATAGTGTAGTGTATAGTGGAGTGTATACCAGTGCATAGTGTAGTGTATTATAGTATAGTGGATAGGAGTCTATAGTAGTGTTTCGGGTATAGTTGTATTACGTACTGTTCAGTATCGTGTAGCAAGTTTATAATAGTGTATCGCGTAGTTTATAGCAGTGTATAGTGTAGGGTATAATAGTAGAGCGTAGAAAAGTGTAGTGTCTAGTAGTGTATAGCAGTGTATGGTGAACTGTTTAATAGTGTAGTGTATAGTAGTCTATAGTATCGTAGTATATAGTGTAGTGTAGAGTATAGTAGTGTCATGTATTGTGGATAATAGTGTATTATAAAGCAGTCTATAGTAGTGCAGTGTATTGTACAATGTAATGTAAAGTATAGTAGTGGAGTGTATTGGTGATTTAATTTAGCTGTTTTCATTTCCTAATAGCTTTCGTATTAACCCCCCCTCTCCTGCACAACCCCCCTCCCCCTACCTTGCCCCCACCCCCCCCTTTTACCCTATATAGTCGCGTTTCTCTATTAGCTTTCTTCACTTATTACAGTGAATTTGGCTGGAACGGTTCCACCTGAAGATGGAAGCTTGTGTTGCCTCCGAAATGTCGCGGTTTAATTGAGTTGTTTTTTCATTTATTTATTTTTACATACGTGACTTTACCGAAAAAACCAAAGAGTACGAATCCTTGCAGTCACGAAAACTTCAAATCTAGGACTGATGTGAACTCAAATGATGCTTTAGAAGGGCGAGAGAACTGAGTGACCGATGTAAACTTTCGTAATGCTCTAGAACGCCTATAGAGTTGAGTGAGTTATTTGAATCTCATGATGCTTTAGAAGGGCTAGAGAACTGATTTACTGATTTGAATTCTACTGATGCTCTAGAAGGGTTAGATATCCGAGTGCCTGGTGTAAACTCAAATTATACTCTAGAAGAGCTAGAGACCTGTAAAGAGTAATGTGAATTCTAATGATGTTCTATAAGAGTTAGATATCTGAGCGACTGATGTGAACTCTAACTATGCTCTAAATGGGCTAGAGGGCTGTGTGACTGAAGTGATCACTTGATGCTCTTGAAGGGCTAGAGAACTGAGTGAGTAATTAGAACATTATGATGTTCTGGAATGGCTAGAGAGTTATAATGAGTGATGTGAATTCTAATGATGCTCTGAGGGCTAGAGTACTGAGTGAATGACGTGAAATCTAATTATGCATTAGAAGGGCTAGAGACGTGACTGAGTGATGTGAACTTTAAATATGCTCTTGAAGGCCTAGAGAGCTGAGAGCCTGGTGTGAAATGTAATGGAGCAATAAATGGGCGTGAGAGTTGAGCGATTTATGCGAAATGTAATGGTGCTCAAGAAGGGCTAAAGAGCTGAGTGACTTCCGTTAATTTTAATTAGCTCTAGAAGGGCTGGAGAATGGAGTGAATGATGTGAACTCCAATGTTGTTCTAGAATTGTTAGAGAGCTGAGTACCTACCGTGAAATGTAATGGTGCTCACAAAGGGCTAGAGAGATGAGCGAGTGATTTGGACTATAATGATGCTCTAGTTTTCCTAGAGAGCTGTAATGAGTGATGTGAATTCTAATGATGCTCTAGAAGGGCTACAGAGATGAGTGAGTGATTCGATGTTTAATGATCATTTTAAGGGTGAGAGGGCTGAGTGAGTGATTTGAACTCTAATGATGTTATAGAATGGCTAGAGAGATATAATGAGTAATAAGACATCTAATGATGCTCTATCAGGGCTAAAGAACTGAGTGACTGATTTGAATAATGCTCTAGATTGACTAGAGAGCTGGGCGACTGGTGTGAAATCTAATGTTTCTCAAGATGAGCTAAAGAGCTGAGTGAGTGATGTGAGTTGTAATAATTATCTAAAAGGGCTAGAAAACTGAGTGACTGATGTGAACTCTAATGATGCTCTAGAAGGGCTAGAGAGGTGAGCGATGTGATGTCTAATGATCCTCTAAAAGGGCTAGAGAGCTGAGTGCCTGGTGTGAAATCGAATTCTCTAATCGAAGGGCTAGAGAGCTGAGCGATTGATGTGAAATCTAATGGTGCTCAAAAAAGGCGAGATATCTGAGTGACTGATCTGAACTCTAATGATGCTCTTGGACGGCTGGAGAGCTGAGAGATTGATGTCAATTTACAAATTTAACTGACCTTTACCTATAATAAAGGTGTTTGGATAAGATCGCGTTATTATAAATGCGCCGCAACCCTCCACCACCTGACACGGCCAATCAATAACAAATGTGTCACAATAAAACGCCAATTAGTTATACTCTTTAGTTCTTTCGGTAAAGTCACGTCGGTAGAAAAATAATAGATCACGACGTTTCAATCGCAACACAAGCAATCGTCATCAGGTGGGACAACCACAGCAATAAAAAAACTGCTGAAGTAGGCGAGAGATCTGCCGTGGCACGAGGTTATATAGGCCTCGGTAGTCGGAGGGGAGAGAGAGGGGGGGGAAGGAGGCAGGGCCCCGCCTTCCTCCCCCGCAGCAGCACCCGGGTCACTGGAGTAAAGTGGACCACCGCAGCAGCACTGGAGAGATCGGCTGCAGGGGGGGGGGGGGGGGAGAGAAGGAGGGGGGGCAGAAAGTGGACCCCGCAGCAGCACCTGGGTCACTGGAGTAGAGATCGGAGAGATATGCACAGAGAGAGAGAAAGACACACAGAGAGTCGGAAATAACAGCTGACATCGGCAGGTAGGATTGAAACATCACAGTCAGTTAATACTTTACCTGGTTAATAATGTCCTTCCAATGATTGCTCAGTTTGTACCCATCTTCTCGATTGAAGTTGTGTCCGTGTTTCTATATCTGGATGGCTTCATGAACAAATCTCTGATAATAGCCGGTGGGTTTGCAGAGTACCTTCGTCTTGGAAAAGTCAATTTCGTGTGAGCTCACCACTGCGTTAAAACAATGATCCGCAACGGCAGAGATATTGGTCCTGCCGTGTTTCAGATCTGCCTTGTATTTGTGAACGCGGTCCGAGACATGTCGTTTCGTTTCCCCAATGTAACTGTTGCCGCAGCCACAAATCAGTTTGTAGACACCCGTGTATTGCATATCAGGAATCACATCAGATGGGATCAAATCACGGATTTTGTGTACTGTGTTGAAATGAACCTGGATCTTGTGTTTGTTTAAGATTTTGGAAATCTTTTTGGTAACCCCTGCTATGTATGGCAAAGTGATGGTATTGGTTGGATCCTCAGATGGCCAATTAGTTACTTCTTTAGCCCACCATTTACAATTTGAGTACGACGAAAAATACAAATAATTTTAATTGCTATGATAGCTACAGACTTAGCGCACTTTGGAAGCGTATTATTAACTAATACAAAATAAATATTACAATTCCCTATAGAAGAATTACATACTAATTAACTGCTTATTAATCTATTATTTAATGACAATATCCCCCCACCTCCGCCTCTGATCTCGAACCCTGATGGGGTTCAACAATGATGACGTCATCCAGCACTATTTACGACCGGAAGCAGGTGGATGGCTTCACAATTCTGGCAAATCGTCCGAGGATGCTGGATGTAATTACCAGCGAAACGTCGTACTCAAATTCTAAATGTTGTGGATTCACTCTTCAAACACACCGGTAGGCTGAAGAAGTAACTATTTGGCGTTTTGTTAACGTGACACATTTTTTACAGATTGGCCGTGTCGGGTGGTGGAGGGTTGCGACACATTTATAATAACGCGATCTAACCCAATAACCTTTCTTATGGATAATACTGGTCGCGAAAGCCTACACGTTAAACTCACCTTCACCTACTCACCAAACCTAAAACTGACCACCACTTACTCACCAGACATGAAAATGACCACACCTACTCACCAAATCTTAAACTGACCACAATTACTCACCTGACCTAAAACTCATCACACCTATTCACCACACCTACTCACCACACATACTCACCACACATACTCACCACACCTACTCACTAGATCTAAAACTTACCACACCTACTCAACAGACCTAAAGCTCACTACACCTACTCACCATACCTAAAACTGACAACACTTACCAGACCTAAAACTCACCACACTTACCAACCCTAAAACTCACCACCACTTACTCACCAGACCTAAAACTCACCACCATTTACTCACCAGACCTAAAACTCACCACCGCTTACTCACCAGACCTAAAACTGACCACACTTACTCACCAGACCTAAAACTCACCACAGCTACTCGCCAGACCTAAAACTCACCACACTTGCCTCTCCCTAGGCTGTTGATACACCAATCCCAATAACCACAACAACAACCATGGGCATCGAGCAACAGGGGAGGACGCCGCTGATGGTGGCGATGCCGGTGATGCTGCTGATGATCCTGGCGATGATGGCCGTACCGTGCCAAGCCAAGGCCTTCACGCAGAGATCCTTCCTCGACTTCATCTCGGGGGCGGAAGCCTTCCAGGGGGACGACGGCTCTGCCGAGGGGGCGCTCATTCCCGCGAAGCCCCCCGTGAAGCCCCCCGTGAAGCCCCCCGTGAAGCCCCCCACAAAGTTCCCCGTGCGGCCCGCCGTGGTGCCCACGTTGCTGCCCCCGATCTACGAACCCGATGGAGGCCCCTCCGACTTCCCGTGTCCCTTCGGGTGCATGTGCCAAGTCAAGGTCATGCACTGCTCCGGCGTGGGTGAGTGCGTGGGTGACGGGGTGGGCGAGAGGGTGGGCGGTGGGGTGGGTGAGTGGTTGAGTGAGTGGGTGAGAGAGAAGGTGGGTGGATAAGAGGGTAGGTGAGTGGGTGGGTGAGTGAGTGGGTGAGAGGGAGCGTGGGTGGGTGGGTGAGAGGGAGCGTGGGTGGGTGAGAGGGTGAGTGGGAGGGTGGGTGGATAAGAGGTTTGGTGAGTGGGTGGTTGAGTGATTGGGTGTGACCAGCTAGTTGTGCCTCAGGCTTGTTCCATTTGGCCCGGCCCTCTAGCTGCTACCGTAGGCGCACACCAGGCTCAACATCCCTGGAGAGTCGGTACAGTCAGCAGCTGCCAACACCGAACCCCGGGCGGCGGTTAACTAACCCGGAAAACTCAGCTTGTCTGAGCCAGAGCATGTGGAACCCCTGGTGGAGGAAATTCCACCAAAACGGGTCTTTGGACCTTCCACTGCCATCAGGACCATCTCCAGTCGTCTTGACTACGTCTTGCCACTGGGTACAGATGCGGCTGGTCGAGAGAGTGAGGTTGACGCTGCGCAAATCACCCTCACTTAAATCCAAGTTCTCTGCGCAAGTCATGGCACTTTATTTACCATTGTCATTATCCAAGTCCTGTGGCGATGGGTGAGCGAGGAAGCAGCAGGCACGGATATGCTGGAAGCTGTAGCCGCAAACCTGCATGCAGGCGGCTCAGGATATTGGTCGTTCCCTCACTGGACCGAAGCAGCAGTGAAGTCCGGCAGCACCCTGAGTGACTAAGCAGCCCTATTCAGGATCACACTGCTCACCTCCGTAGTGAGGAAAGGGTTAGAAAAGGTACCCTAAACATTGTCTGCTTCAAAACATCCTGGCCAGCCTACCGCAGCTGGCGGGATCCCATACTTGCGGTCGAAAAACAAAAACAAATAAAATGAAAAAGACCAAAGTGATACCACTCACTGTTGGCGCCTGGAATGTGCGCACTTTGATGGACACATCTTGATCAAAAAGACCTGAGAGACGCACCGCCCTCGTGGGCAGAGAGCTAGCCAGATACAATGTGGATGTTGCTGCCCTTAGTGAGACCCGACTGGCCGATACTGGACAAGTGACTGAAGTGGGTGCAGGTTACACATTCTTCTGGAGCGGACGAGGCCAGGAGGAGAGACGTGATGTTGGTGTTGGTCTTGCAGTAAAAAACCACCTTGTCAACCAACTGGCAAGCCAACCCAAGGGGACAAGTATAACCCGTAAAAACAAAGTTTTTCACTATAAATCCTTTATATGCGTGGCGGCTAGAGCCCTCTCGTCCTCTGGCTTGAGATGGCTGCCACCTATGGGTCAGATGATTGTCTGCCAGTATTATGCAATTGGTAATTAAATATTTAATTTGTTTTCCCTAAACAGTGTAAAATTTTGGGAAAACATTTTCACTAACATTAATTGTCTCGCACAACGAGTCTGTTTGCAAAATGTCAGCTCGATTGGATCACGGGAAGTGGGTTAAAAAACGACCAAAAGATTTGCACGGTCGTAAGCAAGCAAGCAAGCACGCAAGCAAGCAAGCACGCAAGCACGCAAGCAAGCAAGCAAGTGAACTTAATATAAATGATTTAATAAACGACCGTTTAATGACCTTACAGCTCCACCTATTGGGTAAAAATGTGGCCACCATCATCAGTGCCTATGCCCCTACCATGACCAACTCTGACGAGGTCAAAACCAAGTTTTATAATGACCTAGAAGTCATTATTGCTGCCACAGCCAGCTCGGACAAACTCCTGATACTGGGTGATTTCAACGCCAGAGTTGGAAGTGACCATCAATCATGGAATGGAGTCATAGGTGCACATGGCATTGGAAAATGTAACAGCAACGGTTTTCTACTGCTGAAAACATGCTCTGAGTTTGACCTGCTCATCACCAACACGATATTCCAACTACCAAAGCGCAAGAAAACCTCATGGATGCATCCTCGTTCACACCACTGGCACTTGATTGACTACGTCATCGTGAGGAGGAGCGACCGGCAAGATGTCAGGGTGACCAAGGCAATGTGTGGTGCTGAATGCTGGACTGACCATCGTCTCATCATCTCCAAACTGAACATCCGGATTAAGCCTCCCAGACGCCCACAAGGAAATAGACGCGTCAAGCGTCTTAACATCACTCGCCTACAACAGGAACACACCAGACTGGCCTTTGTTGAGGCTCTAGATCATCATCTGGAGTCTCTAAGCTTCGAGCATACAGACGCTGAGGCAGACTGGACTGCTCTCAAGACCGTGCTGCATTCTACAGCCCTTGAATCACGTGGTGTTCCTATACGTACACATCAAGATTGGTTTGATGAGAACGATGCAGAAATCCGCGCACTCCTTGACGAAAAACATCGCCTGCACGAAGCATATCTGAATGACAGCAGCTCAAGCTTAAAGGAAACTGCCTTCCTCAACATTCGCAGGATTGTCCAGCAGAGACTCAGAGTCATGCAAGATGCCTGGCTGTGCGCAAAAGCTGAGGAGATCCAATCCTACGCTGACAGTAACAACACCAAGTGCCTCTTATGCACTCAAGCAGGTCTATGGTCCGCAACACTCAGGAACTTCACCTCTCCTGAATTCAGATGGAACAACACTCCTCACGGAGAAGCACAAAATACTTGCAAGATGGGTCGAACACTACAGTGCGGTCCTCAACCGGCCATCATGCATAAATGAGGAAGCAATTGCGAGACTGCCTCAAGTTGAAATAAACCAGTCCCTTGCTGTTCTACCATCCATTGAGGAAACCAGCAAAGCCATAACACTCCTCTCATCAGGCAGAGCTCCAGGGTCCGATGCCATTCCAGCAGAAATCTACAAGGCTGGAGGGCCTCGCTTAGTCGAGAAACTGACCGACCTCTTCCAGTCTCTGTGGAAATTAGAAGCTGTTCCCAAGGAGTTCAAGGATACTACTATAATCAATCTATATAAAAGGGAAGGCAATCGGCAGGACTGCGACAACCATAGAGGCATCTCCATACTATCAGTCGCTGGCAAAATCTTGGCAAGAATCCTTCTGAACCGCCTAATTGTCCACCTAGACCAGGGTCTGCTACCTGAGAGTCAGTGTGGTTTCAGAAAAGACCGCGGAACCACTGACATGGTATTTACTGACCGGCAGTTACAGGAGAAATGCCAAGAACAAAATATTGATCTATATATGGCTTTCGTTGATCTAACAAAAGCATTCGACACAGTCAGCCAGGAGGGCCTATGGAAATGGCCAAGTATGGGTGTCCAGACAAGTTCATTGGCATCGTGCGCAAACTCCATGATGGCATGATGGCCAGCGTCAGAGACCAGCAAGAACTCTCTGATCCGTTCCCAATCACAAGCAGGGTAAAGCAAGGCTGCATTTTAGTGCCAACGCTCTTCAGCATGGTGTTTTCTACCATGCTGCAAGACTCATTCCAGAACCACAACACTGGGATTAACTTCATCTACCGTTTTGACGGTGGGCTATTGAATCTGCGGAGGATGCAAGCCAAAACTAGAGTGGAGGAAATCACTGTTCGAGAACTTTTGTTTGCTGATGACTGTGCTCTGGCTGCTGACTCAAATAAAGATCTACAGGACAGTATGGACCACTTCTCCTTGGCTTGTAACAACTTCGGCCTAACAATCAGCACAAAGAAGACTGAAGGCCTATACCAACCTGCTCCTGGGAAACCCTACACTGAGCCAACCATCTTTGTGAATGGGCAAAAGCTTTCAGCCGTTGACAAGTTTATTTACCTTGGTAGTACACTGTCTCGCGCTGTGCACATAGATGATGAAGTTAACATCAGGATTGTCAAGGCCAGTGCAGCCTTTGGACGTCTACGTGACTCGGTATGGGAAAGGACTGGCATCAAGCAGGAGACAAAACTGAAGGTCTACCGGGCTGTTGTCTTACCAACTCTTCTGTATGGGTGCGAAGCCTGGACAGTTTACCAGCGCCATGCCAAGAAATGGAATCATTTCCACTTGAGCTGTCTGAGGAAACTGCTGAGGATCAAGTGGCAAGACAGAATCCCTGACACGGAAGTCCTCAGCAAGGCAAATATCCCCAGCATCTACACCTTGCTTGCGAAGGAACAGCTTAGATGGACTGGCCACGTGACCAGAATGCCCTACGCGAGACTTCCAAAACAAGTCTTCTTTGGCGAGCTGAGGAATGGCAAGCGAGCACAAGGTGGCCCCAAAAAGCGCTACAAGGACACCCTTAAAGCTTCCTTGAAGAGCTTTGGATTCGACCTGAAAAGCTGGGAATCCCTAGCACAGGACCGACCTGCCTGGAGAAGAAAAGTACAGGACGGTGCAGTCCTCTGTGAGAGTAGGAGACGCTCCTGTGCTATCTTGAAGAGGCAGCAGCGCAAATCTACCAAGGAAGGACATGTGGCTGCACCTCAGAGCTCTACATCCTCCCTGACCTGTCCAGTGTGCCACAGGGAATTCCGGGCTCGGATTGGCCTCTTCAGCCATCTACGCACACATCAAAACCCAACAAAATGACAAACGTGCCATGGTCATCATCAACTTTGATGGACGAACAAGAAAAAGAAGAGTGGGTGGGTGGCGTTTGTGTGCAGGTTGCCCTATGTGACTTCATTACAACCGTCTGGTCCACGGGAAGTTTTCCGCAGGATTGGAAGGATGACCTGGTGGTCCTCCATCTCTGCCTCATAGCCCATCCTCTTGTTACTCGCTGCCCCCACCCCCAGGTACGACCAGGCCTTCCCCTACTCCTAACACCACCCAAACCCCTACCGCTACCCCTACCCCTAATACCACCCCTACCTCTATCACTACCCATGTCACCAACCATACCCCTATCACCAACCGTATCACTACCCTAACCCCTCCTTAACCTCTCCAGCCTGTTCTCCTGTCACCATAACTACACCACCACCACCAATTTGAACAACCTCACTCTTAAAATTTTGATTTAAAGCTTTCGTGACTGCAGGGATTCATATTCTTGGTTCTTTCGATAAAGTCACGTCGTGACTTTACCGAAAGAACCAAGAATATAACCTCACTCTTTATTTCAACCATTATCATCGTATGTACAATTGTATAATTGCTGTAAAAAGCGCATTGGAATGAAATTATATATATACACATCTGTAGTGAGTCCAACTGAGTCGCAGAAGTTATTCTTCAGAGGCAACACATTTATTACACAACACGTATATACAAAAGGGTAGCTGCCGCTTTACAAGATTCAGCCTAGGGTGGTGACCACCCAGCTAACTACACTACCATACAGGAGTTATGGCTACGATGGACCAGACCCATACTCGTGTCCCAGGCCACGTGTTGCTGCCTCTTCAGATGTAGAACGTGGAGCTTCCAGCTTGCAGAACGAAGCTACCCCGGTCCCTACGTGACTTTACTGAAAGAACCAAAGAGTATGGATTCATGCAGTTACGAAAGCTTCAAATCAAGATCAGGTTTTGTTTTGCTGGATAGAGGGCTAAACGGGTAAGTGGGTGGGTGAGCAGGTGGGTGAGTGGTTGAGAGGTTGGGTGAGTACGTGGGTGAGCGTGAGGGTGAAAAAATGGGTAAGTGCGTGGATGGGGGAGTGAGTGAGTGAGTAAATGGGTGCGAGGGTGGACTAGTTTGTGGGCGTGAAGGTGGGTGAGTGAGTGAGTAAACGTGTAGGTGAGTGGATGGGTGAGAAGGTGGGTGAGTAGTTGGGTGAGTCGGTGGGTGGGTCAGTGAGTAAGTGAGTCAGTGGGTGGGTGAGTGAGTGAGAAGGTGGATGAGTCTTCTTGGTTCTTTCGGTAGTCACATAGAAGGGAAGTAATACAATAATAAAAATAAAACACAATAAAATAATTCTCACGACGTTTCGGCCACAACGCAAGCAGCCGTCCTCAGGTGAAAACCAGGTTTATTATTTTATCACTTCCCTTCTACGTGACTTTACCGAAAGAACCAAGAAGATGAATCCCTGCAGTCACGAAAGCTTTAAATCGAAATTTAAAGGTGGATGAGTGTTTGAGATTGTGGGTAAGTACGTGGGTGAGTGAGTGGGTCAGTGTTTAACAGGGTGGATGAATGGGTGAGGGAGTAGATGGGTGAGTAAGAGTAAGTGGGTGGATTAGTAGTTGAGTAAGTGAATGGGTGAGTTTGCGAGCGAGTGGTGAGTGGGCACATTCCTCATTCTCTCAGCGTTTCCTACGCAGCTGTGAACTATCTCTCTCTGCCCCCTCTCTCTTCCTCTCCGCCCCTATCTCTTCCTCTCCTTTCTCTCCCTTCCTCTCTCTCTCTCTGTGCTCCCTCTCTCTCTCTCTCTATCCTTGTGGCTCTACAGTATTCGTTACCAGTGAGCTCGGAGGCTTCACATGGTTCGTAGGCACAGCCGTAGCGAGGGGTAGATTGGACATGGTGTGCCGGCTTTGTCAATATTTTCCATGTCACTGAATCGGACAGATCCGATGGAATTGTTACCTCCTGTCTCACTGTCTCTCTTCTCTACCTTGCCTGTTTCCCCGTGTCTAGTGCGTGTGCCCACTCTCTCCTCGTGTCTCCTCCGAGTGTCTTCTTCTGTCTCCCCGTGTCTCCTCCCCCCCCATCGCCTCTCTCTCCCAGCGTCTTTTTTTTACGATCAGTGGAAACAAGAAGATGCTCGGTGTATTCGGCACTTTGCTTCGTTCATCATTTCGTATTTTTTTTTTAACGGGGCTTTATGTAACCCTCGCTCGCTCGCTCTCTCGCTCACTCTCTCGCTCGCTCTCTCACTCGCTCTCTCTCTCGTTTTGTCGCTCATTCTCTCGCTCACTCTCTCATTCTGTACGTAGCCCCCCTCGCAGTCCGACGGCCTCCGACGGGTAGCTCATAACAGCATGCAGAGCTCCCCGTCATCTGCCACCGAGCACACGGCCTCCTCCATCGCCCACTGCTCCTTAAAGGCCGGCACGGCGTGGGTCAGCCGCGCATGGCGGAACTCCAGCCACTCCACTCCACATGTGCGTGGCAGAGCGACGATCGTGATCACACATCTGGTCCTCATGTGTCTCCGTGTGTCTCCCTGTGTCTCCTGCCAAGGTCTTAATTTGAAAAGGAACATGAAAGAGAGAGGCAATTATGCGGATGGGGGGAGGGAGTTTGAGGAGAGGGTTGGTGAGATTTGGGGGTTGGGGGGTGGGCAGAGACAGAGAGAAATTGAGACAGGAGACACGGAGAACCACAGAGAGAGACGTGAAACGAACGCTGAGACAGACACGTGAAGAGAGACAATGAGAGGGAAAGAGACAGAGATACGGACAGATGCAGACACAACGATCCCCCATATAGCCTGTTATAGACTGTAGGGGCAAGTGCTGTTAGCGAGTAGCGCCTATGAAGGCCGACACGGCACACGAGGGGGTGGGTGGTCAGCACCACGACCGGACGCCTTTGTCTCCCCAGTGCTGATGGCTTTATTACGCACCACTGTAGATACTCATTTGAGGCTGAGTCGACCTAGGGGAAGCCCAAAACATGGGGTTACCCAGGAAGTTTACCGCTTTTGCCTCTGTGAATGGCCCTGCCCCTGAACTGCCCCCGTGAATGCCCAGGCCTGAAGAAGGTTCCTACGAACCTGTCCCCGGATCTGCTTATCCTGGATCTGCAGAACAACAAGATCAGCGAGTTGCGTGACGGGGACTTCGACGGACTCAAAGTCCTCCAGGTTAGTAGCAGCAGCAGTGACAGTAGTAGTAGCAGCAGCAGTGACAGTAGAAGTAGTAGCAGCAGCAGTAGTAGCAGCAGCAGTAACAGCAGCAGCAATAGTAGCAGTCGCAGCAGTAACAGCAGCAGCAGTAGTAGCAGTGGCAGCAGTAATAGTGGTAGCTGCAATAGTAGTAGCAGCAGCTGTAGTAGCAGCAGCTGTAGTAGCAGCAGCAGTAGCAGCAGCAGTAGCAGCAGCAGTAGCAGCAGTCATAGGAGCAGCAGGAGCAGCAGGAGCAGCAGCAGTAGTAGTAGCAGCAGCGGTAGTAGCAGCAGTAGTAGTAGCAGCAGTAGTAGTAGCTGCAGCAGTAGTAGCAGCAGGAGTAGCAGTAGTAGTAGCAGCAGCGGTAGTAGCGGCAGTAGCAGCAGCAGTAGTAGCGGTCGTAGTAGCAGCAGTAGTAGTAGCAGCAGCAGTAGTAGCAGCAGCAGTAGCAGTAAAGGCGGTAGCAGCAGCGGCAGCAGCAGCATGCCATCTCACCTCCCCTCTCGATTCTAAACTAAACTATTTATTTTATTTCACCAGGTAAGGCCCACTGAATTTTGTAGCTCTCTTTTAGAAGCGACATGGCTGACACAAATGACAGCTCAACGCAGTGGCTTGTTCTCTTTTGGACATTTATGGCAGCAGCCAAAGACTCTAAACGCGTGGTGATGTTGACTCTAAATGTGGAAGGGAAAAACGGTGGACCAGCAGAAACATACACGTGGTCACTGGGAGAGGCACGGAAACTCCCAATTTACAGCAGGCGTCAGGGTCGAGATCGAAACCGCGGCCTCCTGCATACCAGGCGAGGTTGTTAACATATCCTAGCCACCACGTGGTGGCTAGCAGGGTGGACAACAGGGGCGGTTTCTTCATTAGGGCGATTGGGCGACGCACCACCAATGTCATTCAACCACAGAGTCACGCTAGCCGTCACTGCAGCCTCTGGATATAGTCCAATCAGCATCATGTCACGTTCTGTGGAGTACCGCCTCTTTTTGGGCGATTTCACTCCGGCTGAGAATCGCCCCGAGTGGCCCCATAGACTTACATTCAAAGATGATTTTTTTCGAACGGGGGCGCTGCAATGCATTCTCTATGGCTTCCGGGAGGGCTCGCCCTAACGTGCTTACGTCATCATATGTGCTTACGTCATCATACGTAAGCACGTTTCATCCAACAATATAATTTGTGGCCACCTAGTGGAATCTTTAATAAAATAAACTTGAGTGGTTTGTTTTAATAGTGAGTATAGAAACAAACAAGATGTATTGTAAGAGTCACTTTATTTTTCATTAATATTAAAGAAGTGAAGTTGCCTTTACATGCTTAAGCTGTTAATTTATCCATTGCATGGGTAGACCTTATCCTTATCAATCATCCAGACATTTGCCCCCCCTGAGAGATTTTGCAGGAGCCGCCACTGGTGGACAATGCGGGGGTGGAGGGTGGATAGCGTGGTGCCCTACCCACACCTGTCACCCACTTGTCACCTCCGCTCCCCTCTCACCTGCCCAAACCTCTCACCTGCCCACACCTTTCACCTCCCCTCTCACCTACCCAAACCTCTAAACTACTCTCCATTCTCACCTACCCTCCCCTCTCACCCAACTCTCACCTACCCCAACTCTGACCTACCCTCCCCTCTCACCCAACCACATGCCCCACCCACTTACGCCCCCCTTCAACTTCACCAGGTGCTGATCCTGGCGGGTAACAATATCGAGTCGGTATCAGCGGGCGTGCTGGCGCCGCTGGCAAGCCTCGAGCGCCTCCACTTGTCGCGCAACCGCCTGGCCGTGGTGCCCCCGGCGCTGCCCCCCACGCTGCTCGAGCTGCGCCTGCACGAGAACCGCATCGCAGCAGTCGGAGCCAACGCACTCGCAGGGCTCTCCAGCCTCATCTGCTTCAGTGAGGGGGGGGGGGTCGGGGGGCACAGTGGGTCAGGGGGGATAGTGGGGGTCTAAGTGGTTGTGTTTGGGAGGCACAGGGGGGATAGTGGGGGGCTAAGTGGCTGTGTTTGGGAGGCAAAGGGGGGGTAGTGGGGGGCTAAGGGTTGTGTTTGGGAGGCAAAGTGGGGATAGTGGGGGTCTAAGTGGTTGTGTTTGGGAGGCAAAGGGGGGGTAGTGGGGGGCTAAGGGTTGTGTTTGGGAGGCAAAGGGGGGATAGTGGGGGGCTAAGTGGTTGTGTTTGGTAGGCACAAGGGGGATAGTGGGGGGCTAAGGGTTGTGTTTGGGAGGCACAGGGGGGATAGTGGGGGGCTAAGTGGTTGTGTTTGGGAGGCACAGGGGGGATAGTGGGGGGCTAAGGGGTTGTGTTTGGGAGGCAAAGGGGGGATAGTGGGGGGCTAAGTGGTTGTGTTTGGTAGGCAAAGGGGGGATAGTGGGGGCTAAGGGGTTGTGTTTGGTAGGCACAGGGGGGATAGTGGGGGGCTAAGGGGTTGTGTTTGGTAGGCAAAGTGGGGATAGTGGGGGGCTAAGTGGTTGTGTTTGGTAGGCACAGGGGGGGTAGTGGGGGGCTAAGTGGTTGTGTTTGGGAGGCAATGGGGGGTAGTGGGGGGCTAAGGGGTTGTGTTTGGGAGGCAAAGGGGGGATAGTGGGGGGCTAAGGGTTGTGTTTGGGAGGCAAAGGGGGGATAGTGGGGGGCTAAGGGGTTGTGTTTTGGAGGCAAAGGGGGGATAGTGGGGGGCTAAGGGGTTGTGTTTTGGAGGCAAAGGGGGGTAGTGGGGGGCTAAGGGGTTGTGTTTGGGAGGCAAAGGGGGGATAGTGGGGGGCTAAGGGTTGTGTTTGGGAGGCAAAGGGGGGGTAGTGGGAGGCTAAGGGGTTGTGTTTGGGAGGCAAAGGGGGGTAGTGGGGGGCTCAGGGTTGTGTATGGGAGGCACAGGGGGGATAGTGGGGGGCTAAAGGGGTTGAGTTTGGGGGGCACAGGGGGGATAGTGGGGGTCTAAGTGGTTGTGTATGTGTATGGGATAAACAGGGGGGGTAGTGGGGGGCTAAGGGGTTGTGTTTGTGAGGCACGGGGGGGATAGTGGGGGGCTAAATGGGTTGAGTTTGGGGAGCTCAGGAAGGAAATGACAGAAATTATCCCGAGCTGAACAATGCATAACTGCCCCCTCCTCTGTGTGTGGAGTAGGGGTCACTTAGAAGGGATGTCAGAGGTAGATCTGTGATATCTGCTTTCACAGGCCATTCTGTGGGAGTGCAAACGTTGGGGGTGTTTTATAATCACCCCCAACGTGGAAGCTGTGAGCACACAAGACCACACAATGAGCCACCGTGTATATATCGTGTAGTTGCATCTAAATTATGTACAGTGTATGGTATGTATGTGTTGTGTATATTACGTATATAGTGGGTTCACTTGAGATACACACTAATTCAGGAGGCAAGACGTTTATTCTATGACCAAAACGGGGTAACTGCATAATCAGTAACCACAACGGGATAAATACATAACCGGTAACCACCACGGGGTAACTATATAAACGGGTCAGGTCAGTCGGCACAATGCCTGACCCATGATACTGAATATGAAGACCGGTGACCGAGGAGAAGCCGTAGAACGGTGGGCTCCATTCCAGCAGACAGCCCCAATGGGTCCCCGGGACCTCCCTTTTATGCCCCCCAGCGTGGTCTGACTCCACCCTCGGCCACGCCCCTTTCTGGAACTTACCAGAAGATTTTGGGCCATACGCCACGTGTCCCTTCTGTCACCTTTGGCCCACATCCTTACCCTGTCCTGTCATGTGCCCTTGCCAGCCAACCGGGCTGCTACATCCTCAGATACCCCATGCCCCCTAGGGACCCCTTTCCATGACATAGCGTACCCTTCTGGTAGTGAGGGCTACTCCACTCCCAGTTCCCCTCTCTATCAGTAACTGGCGCTCGGCACCGTAGTGACCAATTATATGTCACTAAACGTGTATATTGTTTATCTATATGCTGTCTATATTGTTTATCTATATGCTGTCTATATTGTGTGTTGTGTGTGTAGTGTATAAAAACAAAACATTAATAAAAGGTAAAACTAGGCTAATGCCAGAAGCTCCAGGGAAACAAGCATTTACGACGTCTCCTGGCCAAAACCTATTTGGCGGAGCCAAGGGATTGAACCTGCACCCTCGGGGTTCCTCCAGTAAGGGCAAAAAGCCACAGAGTGGTCACGTGAAATATTGGAATACTCGCCAAGAAGAGGCTGCCACTCCTATGTCGAGAGCTGGACTGGTCCCGCCTGGACCTCTGGTATACAGGAGGTCAGGTTCTGGCTCCAGTCACTATGAGGGGTGGACAGTCTTCCACTGGATGCAGGAAACTGCCAAACAACAGGGAGTGGTTCATCTTTTTGTGGGACTGTGCCGGTGAGGTGTGAGAATCTCTAATCCCCCACAAAAGATTAACCTCAGTGGAGTCATGCAGGTGTAATAAAGGTCGTTGAGACAATGTCTGGAATTCAGTATTCTTTATTAAGTTTCTTTCACAGCTTTCACAATACTCGTTCCTCTGCTCTATGGCTCCTTCATGCTGTTGGCAGACAGCATGAGAGGGAGAGAGAGAGAGAGGGAGAGAGAAAAACTGCCGCGGCCCGCCACGTGGCAGGCTCCGGACCTCCGCACCGGCGTGACTTCCACCTTCGTTCCTCCAAGCTCTGACCACGTGCTGTCCGTCTCCGCCCCCTTTAATCCCTGGCCCACGTGATGTCTCGCAGCCAATCCTCAGCCACATCCCTGGAACCTTCCAGATCCCACTCTACGGCCCCAGGGCCACGCCCCCAACTCGACTCCCCGTTGGTTGCGGGCTGAAGCCAGCAGAGCCAATCATCCTCTTACAGGTGTAACCTTCGCATTACATCAGGGCCACGCCCCTGGCTCGACTCCCCATTGGTTGTGGGCTGAGGCCGGCAGTCAATCATTATCATCCAGGTGTAACCCATTTATCACCCCCCCCCCCCCCCCCGTGTAAAAAGTCAGCCATCTCGGCTGGGAAAAGGGCGATGGGCCAACCCCTGTGACTAATATTTAGGGCGATAGTGACGCGTAATGAGGTAAGATTAGTAGGGCGCCGAACAACGTGCAGTGCGATGTAGGAGCAATACAACATTAGGGCGCCAACTGTAGCGCGGCATAACAGAAGGGGTTACAGGTAAAACATGGCAACGGTGTTAATGAAATGGGAGCAACTTTGATCGCGTGCGCGACGCTGGTCCCTCTCCCCCCATGGAGCGTGGTCATCTCGACAATTGTTCAGTAGGAGGGGGCAACGGAGGAGGAGCGGGTTCAGCGTCGTCCGTGGATGGAACGGGCCTCGTAGGAGGCTTCTCGTCAGGGGCCTCGACGCTCTTCAAGGCCTGTGTGTCTGCAGGGGGTAGAACACGTCCCCGCTGGGGATCAACTGGCGAGGCAAGTGGCACGTCAAGCACATCAGACCCCGGCAGGTCGGCAAGTGGGGATGAAGGGCCAGTGCGTGGTTTGAAATAAGGTTTCAGATGCGATGAGTGGACATACCAACAACGCAGCCCGTACTGGATGCGAACACTTTGGGGATTCCGGACTTCTATTAGTCTCACAGGCCCTCGCCAAGGCCTGTGCAGTTTAGGGGACGTGCCCACAGGCACCTGAGGGCAATAAAGCTACGCCGCGTCGCCCACCGTCCAAGGCATGCCACGTCGCGATCGACGCGCATATCTCTCGTTCCGTGCCTGTGTACGGGCTGTTGCACTCCTGACGGCTTCCCGCGCCTCCGTAACACGCCGAAGTGAGTCACGGACCTGATCAGGCAAGGAAGGGGAGGGTTCCTTTCCCGCTGTACCGAGTTGCACAATCAGAGGCACGTTTTCCCGCCCATACATAAGAAAAAATGGGGAATACCCCGTGGACGCGTGCAGGACCATGCGGTACGCCGACAGAACGCCAGGTATGTGCAAGTCCCAGTCGGTCTGCTTTTTGCTCACCATGTGACAAAGCATGGCCGAAAGGGTACGGTTAAATCGTTCCACCATTCCATCCGTCTGCGGGTGGTAAGGGGAAGTGCGGATTTTCTTCATACCCAAAGCAGTGCATACATCCCGGAGCAATTTAGAGGAGAAGATACGTCCTTGATCCGTGAGTAATTTCTCAGGAGCCCCCTTATCCATCACGTGTCCATTCAAGAAAGCCTCGGTGATCGACGAAGCCGATTGGTCGGGTAAAGGCCAGGCCATAGGCCAACGAGAAAAATATTCGACCCTGACCAAGAGATACTTATTACCCCTTGCTGACGGGGGAAACGGGCCGAGGATATCTAGAGCAACCAGCTCATTAATACGAGATACCTCGATCGATTGCAAGGGTGGAACGTAATTTTGACGTGGCGGTTTCTGCTTCACACAATCTTGGCATGCCCAGATAGTTCTGGTGATATCCGCCGTCATACCCGGCCAAAAGAAATCTTGCTGCATCGTGAGCAATGTCTTCTGCACGCCGAGATGCATCAGCTTGTCGGAGTGCAACGCACGGATAAGATCATGGCGAAGGGACGATGGCACAACAAGGCGTGAACAGTCCGACAACCCGTCCGTGCACATCAGCAACCCTTTCCAATCAGTATATAACTGCGATTTTCCCCCCGAAAAATGAGATCTTGGCTTTCCGACCAGATCCCGCAGTGGAGCCAACGAGGCATCCGCCCTTTGTTCATACAGCCACACCAAGTGCGGCAAATGCAGCGTGCCATCGGCCCCAACGGGCGTACACTGGCCATCATCTATTGGCATCGCATCCATAACTGGACAGGGAGGGGTGGGCGGCACTGCGCAGCAATGTGTACCCGTCAAACAGACGCAGGGAGGATTCAAGGGCAATCTGGAAAGAGCGTCTGCATTGCCGTGGCAGGTACCTTTACGGTATGTGATATCAAAAGAAAATTCCTGCAACAATT